AAAATGGGGAAAAAAAGGGGGGGAAATTGAGAAAAAAGGGGAGAAAAATAGGGAAAAATGGGGAAAAATTTGGGGAATAATAGGAAAAAAGGGGGGAAATTGGGGGAAAAAAAGGGGGGAAATTGGGGGAAAAAAAGGGGGGAAATTGGGGGGAAAAATGGGAAAAAATAGGGGGAAAATGGGAAATAAATCGGAAAAAATCAGAAAAAAATTGGGGAAAAAATCAGGGAAAAAAGGGAAAAAATAGGAAAAAAATTCAAATAAAATGGGAAAAAAATCTGAAAAACACGGGAAAAAATGAGGAATAAAATGGGAAAAAAGTCTGAAAAAAATGGGAAAATATGAGGAAAAAACCTGAAAAAAAGGGAAAGAATGAGGAAAAAATCTGAATAAAATGGGGAACAAATTCGGAAAAAATTGGGGAAAAAATCTGGAAAAAAATAGGAAAAAATCTGGGAAAATCAGGGAAAAAGTCTGAATAAAATGGGGAAAAAATTTTGAATAAAATGGGAAAAAATTGGGAAAAAATCTGAAAAAAATTTGAAAAAAATGGGAAAAAATCTGGAAAAAATCTGGAAAAAATAGGGAAAAAATCTGAATAAAATGGGGAAAAAATTCTAATAAAATGGAAAAAATTGGGGAAAAAATCTGAAAAAAATTTGAAAAAAATAGGAAAAAAATGGGAAAAAATCTGGAAAAAATGGGGAGAAAAATTCGAATAAATTGGGAAAAATTGGGGAAAAAATCTGAAAATAAAATTTTAAAAATGGGAAAAATTGGGGAAAAAATCTGAAAAAAAATTGAAAAAAATGGGAAAAAATCTGGAAAAAGTAGGGAAAAAATGGGAAAAAATCTGGAAAAATGGGGAAAAAATCTGAATAAAATGGGGAGAAAAATTCGAATAAAATTGGAAAAAAATGGGGAAAAAAATCAGAAAAAAATGGGAAAAAAATCAGAAAAAAATCAGAAAAAAATACAAAAAAATGGGGAAAAAATCCGGGCATTTTTTTGGGGCAAAAAGTGTGGAAATTGGGACTATTGTGGGCCGGTCTCCACAGCTGCGGGCGGTGCACGAGCAGCTGGCGGCGCTCTCGCAGGGCCCCGTGGCCAAGCCCAGGAAGAGGCGGGAGAAGCGGAAGAAGAAAAAGTCGGAAAAGCACAAAGGGAGAACGGGACCCGACGAGGAGCGGCCACGGCCGGGGCAGCTGCGCAGGGCCCGCAGGAACGGGGCTGGAACGGGCTCCAGGTGAGGGATTTGGGGGAAATTCCGGGGTTTTTGGGATTTT